TCTTTGATCACGAGTCAGCTGTATGAAGGCTCAGTCTTTGTGGCCACTGCGGTGAAAACTATTTACTTTCACGTTAAAATATAACACTTGTAATTATAACCAATGTCAGGGTGGAAGTTCTTAAGAAAATAATTGTTACGAGGAGACAGTCGTAGTGAAAGTTTGGGTTTTTTTTTTATATAAGAGAAGAAAGTCAGAGAAAATGTTCTTTGTGTGAGAAGAAATCAGGGAAAAAATCTATTACAAGAGAAACACTAGAATTAAGAGGTGTGTCAGGAAGATAAATGTTTTCTTAAGCTATTTATCCCACAGTGAGATGAATGTTATGGGATTTTTTTTTTTTTTACAAGATCAAATTATATCCGAACATTGGAAACAAAATAAACTTGATTAAAGTAAACGCGACACGTATAAAAAACTCAACCGAAGTGAAAAATTATTAAAAAAAACTATAAATAACACGAACATTATAGTAAAACACATTTGGTTTGTAAAGAATAAAATCATCCATGTACGATACCTACAAGAAATAAACAGAAGAGAAACTAGGAATAATTCTTACATAATTAACCATCTAGTGAAAGTCTCTGGTCACGTAATTACTTCATATGAGCGAAACAACTAACCCTAATAGTATGGTAAATGTGTGTGTATGTGTATGTATGTGTGTGTGTGTGTGTGTGTGTGTGTGTGTGTGTGTGTGTGTGTGTGTGTGTGTGTGTGTTTTCTTCCCTTTATCTGCACTTATCTATGTCCTCCAGTCTCTCTCCGCGAATCTATACTCATTCTCTTTTCTTACTATGTCAGTGGAAATTTCATATACGCCAGCGCTCAGTGCCTGGACCAGCCCACGTCTGCCGTGCGGGATGAAATACCGTCTACATATTCAGAAAACCCTTCCCCTGAATAAGCGGGAGGAGAGTTGTGCATCTAAATGGTGGTGTGGCGCCACTTGTGTTATTACAGCATCCAACCCTGAGATAGAGAGAGACGCTACTTATGTCATGCACGAAGCTAACCCGGATATAACGACGGATAAAGCTCGTATATAGAGAGGAAACACACATGCTATATACAATTTGCATCCGCGATATGGAAGGTGAAAGTGCTTAAGGATTTCAACATTTTCGACGGCCAGGAGGTGATAATAGAAGAAATGTATATAAAGAAGAATATAAATGGGATATAACGGAATAAATGAGGGTTTAAACAGACGTAAACAGAGGCTGGTTGTTGTGCGAGACTTTCAACAACCAATTTCCTGGGTCATCCCGCCCTCTCTACCGAGCACCAGATGTTTGTATACCATATTACACAACCCGATATTATCTTCAGGCAACATGTACGTCGGTTAGCTCAAGGTTTGGTGTGATCTGCGACAAACGTGTACTTGTGCCTGATGATTTTACCCTCTTGAGTGGATCTGGAGTGTGAGCTTGGATATGTGTACGTGGCGTGTGTGGGCGTGGAGTGTGTGTACGCGTGCATGGAGTGTGTGGACGGAGAGGAGGGGTAGGAGAGGGGGTAGGAGAGGGGGAAAGAGAGGGGAAGGGTAGGGGAGGGGTGATACATCAGGTGATCTTCTAACTCAACATTGGCAAGTGGATGACCTCAGAGACCATCACAAATCCCTCCTCTCCCTCTTCTTACTCTCCCTCCTCTCTCCTACTTCCTATTCTTAATCTCCCTCCTTCTCTCCTACTTCATCTTCTTACTCCCCTTACTCTTTCTCACTTCCCTCATCCTCCAATTCTCCCTCCTTCCTCCTTATCTAATTCTTCTTCTTTGTTCTCCTCCTGATCTTAATTACCTTTATCTTCCTCTCCCCTCCTCCCTTGTTATCTCTTCCTACCCTTAACCCTCCTTACGTAATTCATTTTCCTCTTTCTATTCCTACTCTCCCTATGTCTTATTTTCTCTTTCTCCTTATCTTGTCTTTTCCTTTTGCACCTCCATCTTCTTCCTCCCCTGCTGTCTCTCCCTTCTCTCCATATTCAAAATTTATCTCCTATTCCTCTTAGTCTTTTTCTATTTTCCTCATTTCCTCATTCTTTATGATTTCTTTCCTGATTCCTCTTCCATTAGTCTATTTATATCATAAAATCAATTTCCTTGCCTCTTTAAAAAAAACATTCAATTATATTTTTTCCCTTGATATATATTTTTTCCCCTTGATATATATTTTTTTCCCTTGATATACATTTTTTTTCCTATACCTTCAAAAGACACTTAGATATTCACAACACAATTTCCTTCATTTTTTCCCCAGATTTTGTTTTCCAATTTCCTTTGACTGTCCGATTTTAAGAATGGTGCCATTTTTTGTGTGGTGCCTCTAGACTCACATTGGGATTCTGTAAGTCACCTTGGATGTCTCTCGTTTAATGGCTTTATATAACCCATAAAGACATAGTGTCGTAGTTAACCCTAGCGTGGTGGTTCTTCTCTTCCTCCTTCTACTCCTTCAACTACTCCTCCTTCTCCTCCTCCTTCTATTCCTCCTCATCTTCCTTCTTCTCTTCGTCACCCCAAAGGTTATATAAATTTAATTTACTTATTATTCCTACGGTGATGGAATCAAGGGAAGAGGAGGAGAGAGGGGAGGAGAGGAGAGGAGGGGAAGATTGAGGAAGGAAGAGAGAAAGGAGGGAAGAGAGAAGGAATTAGGATAAAGGAAGAAGCAGAGAGAAGATAAAGGGGGGAGGGGTAAGGAGGGCAAATAAGGGAGGAGGAAAGAAGGAAGCAGGATATTGGAGAAAGGAAAGAGGATATGGTAGTGGGAAAGGAGGACAGAAGAGAGATATTGAAAGAAGGAAGGAAGGAAGGAAGGAAGGAAGGAAGGAAGGAAGGAAGGAATGAAGGACCACGGAACGAGATTGTCATTTTAGTCACCCCAGGAAATATGTTTCAACCTGATCACGAACCGAATATTAATACTTGTTTGTGTTGATTAGAATGGAAAGCTGTGTTACTCTCTCTCTTTCTGTCTCTCCCCTCCCTTCTCTCTCTCTCTCTCTACCCCCCTCTCTCTTTCTCCCCCTCCCCCTCTCTCTCTCCCCTCCCCCTCTCTCTCCCCTCCCCCTCTCTCTCTCCCCTCCCTCCCCTCCTCTCCCCCTCGCTTTCTCTCTCCTTTGGGATTTGCATTATATATAGTTTATGAATGGAGCATAATAACATGGTAAGGAACACACACACACACACACACACACACACACACACACACACACAGGCATCTTCCCGGACCGCTAGTGTGCCTGGTTCCGCAACACCATTAATCTTAGGTAATGGATTAGGTAGTAATTTTTCATTCCTATCTGTCAGAATTTATGCACAGTTGCCTCAGTCTGGTGTGTGTGTATAAATAATGTGAGACGCAGACCTTGCTAGCCATCACCTGTGGGTCCTTCTTAATATATAACAATAATAAAACAATAGTAAAACAATAATAAAACAATACTAAAACAATAATAATAAAACCATAGTAAGTGTATTAATAACAGGAATCATTCTCATAATTACAGGATAAATATAAATGCTTTGTATTTTAATAGTACAGATGGTATCATTATTATTAATCTTTCCAGAATATGTTAATAACTGTTGAATACTTAATACATACATACATACATGCATTTATACACACACGCACACACACACACACACACACACACACACACACACACACACACCCACCCATCCATCCACCCATCCATACATACATACATTCATACATACATACATACATACATACATACATACATACATACATACATCAGAATGAGTTGCTCACCCCACGTGGGTCTTCCTCTTGTTGTCGCCGACGTTGTAATTTGATGGACACTCCCGCCACCACCTGTGAGTCGCGCTCTTGTTCACTCACAAAAAGAGGAGAGAGAAGGTCATCTGTATAAGTGAAGGAGAGCAGGAGTCTTCTGTAGGAGCAGGAGTCTTTTGTAGGAGCAGGAGTCTTCTGTAGGAGCAGGAGTCTTTTGTAGGAGCAGGAGTCTTCTGTAGGAGCAGGAGTCTTCTGTAGGAGCAGGAGTCTTCTGTAGGAGCAGGAGTCTTCTGTATAAAGAAAGAGGACGGGCTAACGTCGAAGTCTATAAAGAGGAAAAGGGGCGAAGAGGAAGGAATCTTCTCCTCCGTCAGCATAAGAGGAAGGAATCTTCTCCTCCGTCAGCATAAAGATGAAGGAATCTTCTCCTCCGCCAGCATAAGAGGAAGGAGTAAGAGTCTTGTGTATAATAAATAAAGAGAGGAGGACAGACCGTCGCCCGGAGACACTGGCTTCCCTGGCCTCATATTTCCTCATTACAAAACTCTGCTGTAATAGACCATAAGACCACGTCCTCCAGGACCCTGGACCACCAGACCACGTCCTCCAGGACCCTGGACCACCAGACCACGTCCTCCAGGACCCTGGACCACCAGACCACGTCCTCCAGGACCCTGGACCACCAGACCACCTCCTCCAGGACCCTGGACCACCAGACCACGTCTCCCAGGGCCCTGAGCCACCCAAGACCATCTCCAGGACTGGACCCATCCTCCAGGAACCCTGGACCCACGGGCCGTCCTCAGGACCTAGGGCCTGAATCATTATAGGACCCGGACACCAGACCACATCCTCCGGGCCTGGGGCCTGACCTGTCCTCCGGGGCCCTGACCACCAGGCCGCCTCTCGGGACCCTGGGCCACCAGACCACGTCACTGGGACCCTGGACCCGCAGACACGTCACCAGGACCTGGACCACCAGACATACCAGGACCCTGGACCACCAAGCCACGTCCTCCCAGGACCTGGACCACCAGACCACCTCCTCCAGGACCTGGACGCAGACCATCTCGGGACCCTGGGCCTGGGCCACGTCCTCAGGACCTGGACCCGTCCTCCGGGAACCCTGGACCACCAGACCCATGTCCTCCCGGGACCCTGGACCACCAGGCCACGTCCTCCAGGACGCGTTTTAAGGCCGATCACTCAGGACTGGACCTGACCCATGCCGGGCCTGGGGCCACCAGGCCACGTCCTCGGGGCCCTGGACCACCAGATCACGTCCTCCAGGACCCTGGACCCTACGTCCTCCAGGACCCTGGACCGCAGACCCGTCACTGGGCCTGGGCCACCAGGTACGTCCTGCCAGGACCTGAGCCTGTCGTCCTCTGGGACCTGGACCACCAGACCACGTCCTCAGGATTTTGGGCCGCGATCACGTCCTCCGGGACCCCTGGACCACGTCCTCCAGGACCCTGGACCACAGACCACGTCCTCCGGGACCCTGGACTACAGACCACGTCCTTAGGACCTGACCACCCAGAATCGCATCCTCCAGGACCTGAACCACCAGACCACGTCCTCCAGGACCCTGAACCACCAGGCCACGTCTCCAGGCCCTGGACCACCAGATCCCGTCCTCCAGGGCCCTGGACCACCAGACTCCACGTCCTCAGGACCTGAGCCACCAGACCCTCCGGGACCCTGGACCACCAGACCACGTCCTCCAGGACCCTGAGCCACCCAGACCACGTCCTCCAGGACCCTGGACCACCAGATCACGTCCTCCGGGCCCTGAACCACAGACCACGTCCTCCAGGACCCTGGACCACCAGATCACGTCCTCCCAGGACCTGAACCACCAGACCATCCCTCCAGGACCCTGGACCACCAGACCACGTCCTCCAGGACCCTGGGCCACCAGATCACGTCCTCCGGACCTTGGGCCACGTCCTCGAGGGGCCCTGGGAGCCACCAGGCCACGTCCTCCAGGACCCTGGACACCAGATCCGTCCTCAGGACCCTCGACCACCAGACCACGTCCTCCAGGACCTGGACCACCAGATCCACGTCCTCCAGGACCCTGAACCACCAGACCACGTCCTCCCAGGACCCTGGACACCACCAGACCACGTCTCCGGGCCCTGGACCACCAGATCACGTCCTCCAGGACCTTGGACCCACGTCCTCCAGGACCCCTGAACCACCAGACCCGTCTCCAGGACCCTGGACCACCAGATCACGTCCTCCAGGACCCTGGACCCACGTCCTCCAGGACACTGGACACAGACCACATCCTCGGGGCCCTGGACCCACATCCTCCAGGACCCTGGGCCACGTCCTCCAGGACCCTGGACCACCAGATCACGTCCTCCGGACCTGGACCACTGGGCCATCCTCAGGACCCTGGACCACGTCCTCCGGGCCATGGACCACCAGACCACATCCTCAGGACCCTGGACCACGTCCTCCAGGACCTGGACCACGTCCTCCAGGACCCTGGGCCACCAGATCACGTCCTCCAGGACACAGGCCTGGAATCCATCCTCCAGGACCTGGACCACGTCCTCCAGGACCCTGGACGTCCTCCAGGACCCTAGGACCACCAGATCACGTCCTCCAGGACCCTGGACCACCAGACCACGACCTCCAGGACCCTGGACCACCAGACCACGTCCTCCAGGACCCTGGACCACTCAGACCACGTCCCTCCAGGACCCTGATCACGTCCTCCAGGACCCTGGACCACCAGACCACGTCCCTCCAGACCCTAGACCACCAGACCACGTCCTCCAGGACCCTGGACCACCAGACCACGTCCTCCAGGACTCTGGACCACCAGACCACGTCCTCCAGGACCCTGACCACCAGACCACGTCCTCCAGGACCCTGACCACCAGACCACGTCCTCCAGGACCCTGACCACCAGACCACGTCCTCTAGGACAATGAACTACCAGACCACGTCCTCCAGACCCTGAACCACCAGACCACGTCCTCCAGGACCCTGAACCACGTCCTCCAGGAACCCTGGACCACCAGACCACGTCCTCCAGGACCCTGAACCACGTCCTCCAGGACCCTGACCACCAGATCACGTCCTCTAGGACTCCACCACCAGACCACGTCCTCCAGGACCCTGGACCACAGACCACGTCCCAGGATCCTGACCCGAGAGATCACGTACCCAGGACCCTGACCACCAAATCACGTCCTCCAGGACCTTGGACCACGTCCTCTAGGACCCTGGACCACCAGACCACGTCCTCCAGACCATGGACCACCAGACTGCCGTCCTCCAGGACCTTGGACCACGTCCCAGGACCCTGGACCACCAGGACGTCTCCAGATCCTGACCCCTCGACCACGTCCTCCAGGACCCTGGACCACCAGATCACGTACTCCAGGACCCTGACCACGTCCTCTGGACCCTGACCACCAGACCACGTCTCCAGGATCCTGGACCCTGACCACGTCCTCCAGGACCCTGACCACCAGATCACGTCCTCCAGGACTCTGGACCACCAGACCACGTCCTCCAGACCCTGGACCACCAGACCACGTTCCTTCCAGGATCCTGGACCTCGAGATCACGTACCCAGACCCCTGACCACCAGATCACGTCCCTCCAGGACCTGGACCACGTCCTCCTAGGACAATGAACCACCAGACCACGTCCCTCCAGGACCCTGAACCACCAGACCACGTCCTCCAGGACCCTGAACCACGTCCTCCAGGAACCCTGGACCCGTCCTCCAGGACCCTGGACCACAGACCACGTCCTACAGGACCCTGGACCACCAGACCCACTTCAGGACCCTGGACCTGAATCACGTCCTCCAGGACCCTGGACCACCAGATCACGTCCTCCGGACCTGGACCACCAGATCACGTCCTCCAGGACCCTGGACCACCAGATCACGTCCTCCGGGCCTGGGCCAGTCCTCCGGACCTGGACCACCAGACCACGTCCTACAGGACCTGGACCCCCAGACCACGTCCTACAGGACCCGGACCACCAGATCACGTCCTCCAGGACCTGGACCACCAAACCACGTCCTCCAGGACCCTGGACCACCAGATCGTCCTACAGGACCCTGGACCCAGATCGTCTACAGGACCCTGGACCACCAGACCGTCCTAGGACCCTGGACCACCAGATACGTCCTCAGGACCCTGGACCACCAGACCACGTCCTCCAGGACCCTGGACCACCAGATCGTCTAGGACCCTGGACCACCAGATCACGTCCTCGGACCTGGACCACAGACCACGTCCTACACCCTGACCCCAGACCATCCTACAGGACCATGGACCACCAGATCACGTCCTCCAGGACCTGGCCACCAGACCACGTCCGCCAGGACCCTGGACCACCAGATCACGTCCTACAGGACCCTGGACCACCAGACCACGTCCTACAGGACCCTGGACCACCAGACCACGTCCTACAGGACCCTGGACCACCAGATCACGTCCTCCAGGACCCTGGACCACCAGACCCACGTCCTCCAGGACCCTGGACACCAGATCGTCCTACAGGACCCTGGACCAGATCGTCTACAGGACCTGGACCCACCAGACCACGTCCTCCAGGACCCTGGACCCCCAGATCACGTCCTCCGGGACCGGACCACCAGATCACGTCCTACAGGACCCTGGACCCCAGACCGATCTACAGGACCCTGGACCACCAGATCACGTCCTCCAGGACCTGGACACCAGACCACGTCCTCCAGGACCTGGACCCCAGATCACGTCTCCAGGACCCTGGACCACCAGATCGTCCTCGACCCTGACCAAACCACGTCTGGACCGGACCACCAGACCCGTCCTACAGGACTCTGGACCACCAGATCGTCCTCCAGGACCCTGGACCACCACGTCCTCCAGGACCCTGGACCACCAGATCACGTCCTCCAGGCCCTGGACCACCAGATCACGTCCTCCAGGACCCTGGACCACCAGACCGTCCTCCAGGACCCTGGACCACCAGATCACGTCCTACAGGACCTGGACCACCAGATCACGTCCTCAGGACCCTGGACCACCAGACCGTCTACAGGACCTGGACCACCAGATCACGTCCTCCAGGACCCTGGACCACAGACCACGTCCTCCAGGACCCTGGACCACCAGATCACGTCCTCCAGGACCCTGGACCACCAGATCACGTCCTCCAGGACCTGGGCCACCCTGGTGTTGCAGTCTCCCTCCCCCTTACCCCTCAGCCCCTTCCTCCCTCACCCACTCAGCCCCTCCTCCCTCACCCTCAGCCCCTTCCTCACCCTCAGTCCCTCCTCCCTCACCCACTCAGTCCCTCCCTCCCTCACCCACCAGCCCCCTTCCTCCCTCACCCACTCTCAGCTCCCCCTCCCTCCTCACCCACTCAACCTCCTTCCCTCACCCACTCAGTCCTCTTCCTCCTCATTCCCACTCAGCCCCTTCCTCCTCACCCACTCAGCACCCCTCAGCCCTCCTACACCTAATCAGCCTCCTTTCCTTCACTCCACTCAGCTCCCCTCCTCCCTCTCCCACTCAGTCCACAGTCAAGGTTCAGACATCACCAGCATTAAGGAATCTGAACTGTATCGACATATCGAACCTGAACTGAGGAACTCAGAACTTAATCAGGGAGGATTATGGGGCTTGGGCGTGAGTGGATCAGGACATTGTGGACACGAGGCTTTGGGAATGAGATCCGGAGGTGTGGCAGATGGTCTCAGGGGAAGAGTCGGAGGAGGAGGAGGAGAGAGGAGGAGGAGGAAGATGCCGGTGAGGGAGAGAGGGGATAAGGAGATGAGTAAGAGTTGAAAAAGGGAGGACTGAAAAACGACAGATATTTACCAATACATATAATCACCTGGTGACCAGACCTGACAACCATGAACAGCACAAGGCGACGCTGGCGGTGTTTGGTCACAGGCTGAGGTAATCTGGGTCAGGCACGGCCAACAAATTTGTGTTGGTGGCGGCCAGGAAATTACTATTGACTTGATCCCAATGTGGCCCTCTTGTTCTAACTCTAGTGGCCTCAATGCGGCCCTCCTGTTGTACCTCTAGTGGCCCTAATGTGGCCCTCCTATTCTACCTCTAGTGTTATCATAAAGGGATGACTGGAGATCTACATCTAAAATCTTAAAACTCCCTACGTTAACACCCTCACTCCCCTACCCTACCCCCTTTCCCCTCCTGCTATACCACTCCTCTACCTAAAACATCCTTCTCCTTACACCACCCCTTACACTATACTGGTCTCCCACTACACTACCCTCCTTCCCCCTCTACCTCAAGACATAAGGACCTCATCTAATATAACTCACTTGAACTACGAATCGATATTGTTGTTATAATGTTGTTACTGCGCATCAACAACAAAGGTCCTTAAATCCACAACACGATAGAATTTTCTGTATTATGAATCGATAAAAGATGAAAAATAAGGAAAACTTTAACTTGTTTTAGATAATCCTTCGACTGCTTGAATATACTGTATATAAATTTGTGTTATAGTCGAGGGTCCGTTCTCTTTCACCCTCACTCTCGTAGGAGGAAGGAAGGAAAACCAAGTAAAGACAGCGTCAGGTTCCTTCCCTGGAATTGGAAGAGTAAATTTAATCTTCTCCAGAAATTCGCATCAAAAGAACCGAGGTTATGAAGAAAGGCGAGAGAAGGCCTACCGCAGCGAGTGTACACCAGCACTTGTCTCTTTATATCTCCTGAACATAATCTTTTTACTTGTTCCTCATACAGTTGGAAGTCTTAGAGAGAGAGAGAGAGAGAGAGAGAGAGAGAGAGAGAGAGAGAGAGAGAGAGAGAGAGAGAGACTTTGTGATGATGGTTTCCTTGACAGGTATGATTATCCTAGAACGTCACAACTTGCTTATTGGCTGTCACTGAAGAATGGATGGGATGAAAATAGAAAGTGTGTGTGTTTGTGAGAGAGAGAGAGAGAGAGAGAGAGAGAGAGAGAGAGAGAGAGAGAGAGAGAGAGAGACATACAGATGCGAAATGAGAGAGAGAAATGATGAATTAGAATGCAACAAAATAAAGAAAAAACAATAAAAAGAGAAACTAGAGAAAATAGATGATAATAAAATAAAATGATGACACACATACAGGATTAGTTTGTTAATTAGTGACCTTTATTAATACAGGTAATCTATTGAGTTAATACTGTGTTATGTGTATATGTAAATTAAATATATTCCTTTTCGTTTATGTTTTCTACACCTGTTTTGTTTAATTCACTAAATCAACTGAAAAAAAAAACAAAATATTTAGTCTAAGAGGTAAATTAGTTTTTTTTTTTGGAGGTAAAGTCAGGTGTCTTGGAGGTAAAGTCAGGTGTCTTGGAGGTAAAGTCAGGTGTCTTGGAGGTAAAGTCTGGTTTCTTGGAGGTAAAGTCAGGTGTCTTGGAGGTAAAGTCAGGTTTCTTGGAGGTAAAGTCAGGTTTCTTGGAGGTAAAATCAGGTGTCTTGGAGGTAAAGTCAGGTGTCTTAGAGGTAAAGTCAGGTGTTTTGGAGGTAAAGTCAGGTTTCTTGGAGGTAAAGTCAGGTTTCTTGGAGGTAAAGTCAGGTTAGAAGATATTTTGGGAGGCCTCGTTAAGCCATCAATACCACCATAATGATCAGAAAAATGGTTACCTGATCACCGCTCCAACAACAATGACGTCAATCACAACAATAACGTGACTCCACCTATAATAAACTCAACAGCTAAAATATCCAATAACCTGTGATAATTATTGTTATTGGTGGGGTTTCTGTTTGTCTGTCTCTCTCTCTCTCTCTCTCTTCCACTTGTATGTCTGCTTGTTTTTATGTTCTTGTTTCTCGCTCTTTATTTTTGTCTCTCAACCATTTTTCCTTTATTTTACTAAATATTTAATCAATGAAAGAGAGAGAGAGAGAGAGAGAGAGAGAGAGAGACAGACAGACAGAGGCAGACAATGTTTCTAGTCTACACTCAGATAAAGGTGTTAACACTACTACAGGAACATACCCGCCGGAGTTTACGTGACAATAGTAAAGTGTGGATAGTGGAGAATCCGGCTTAAAATTTCGTCGTCGGAAATGGACTTTCAATGAAGGTAAAAGGAAACACGTTACAAGAATGAAAATAATCAGAGTGTCCAACAGGAGAGAGAGAGAGAGAGAGAGAGAGAGAGAGAGAGAGAGATGAGCACACACACATACACCTACACACACACACACACACACATGGAGGAGAAACATCTAGATGGATGGACATTCCTGAAATTTTTTGGAGGTGAAATAAAGGGCAATAAAACAGTGAGAGAGGAGAACGGTGTGATAGATGTGTTTAGCTGTCAGTGTACCTCTCTCTCTCTCTTCCGTCTTTCTCAGGGTACAATTTTTGTATTTTTTCCCCCGTGTTTTTTGTCTAATTTGGTACACAACTTGAGACGAAATGTGACGGTGGACAAGTTGGCTAAAGTTGGTAATGTGGTGAAGGCGTGAGACTCTGACTCTCTCAAGGTAAAGCACGTAAGACATTTTCAGTGATATTGTCAACTTGGTACGTGCATGTTACTGTGTGCAAACTTAGTGTAACGGGAGTGAGATGAAGTCGGTGGAGATGGTGGTGATGGTGGTTGTTGTGTGGGGAAGTTACTAAGGGAGTCAGGGAGTAAGGGAGGGAGAGAAGGGAGAGAACGGAGAGAACGGAGAGAAGGGAGAGAAGGGAGAGGTGTAGTAATATGAACAACGCCTAACCTAACATTAACCTAACCTAACCTAACCTAACCTAACCTAACCTAACCTAACCTAACCTAACCTAACCTAACATAACATAACATAACATAACCTAAAACACTTTACCAGATATACAAAAACAAAAACAAAAAACAAAAAAATTATCCAACAAAAACATAGACCTTCCCATCATTGTTAATTCCTTCCGTTGCTGTTGATAAATATTATTGGCTTAGCTTAAGAGAACTCGGGGAGTCTACCAAACACAATTTCACCTCACTGGGCGCGTTCATTTCCTACAGGTGGCCGCGTTCACATGCCTGTCAATTAAAAGCTTATTCAAAATGGCTTCTTTATTAAACAGTATATTTCCATCTACTTTGTGAGGCATTAAATCACAAGGGTTGGTTCATTATAAGGAACGAACTGGCATTGCCTTGTGTCTCGTCTCTGAGAACTGGTGTTGTCTCTCTCTCTCTCTCCTCCCCACAGCACCTACTCAAGGATGGGGGAAACATTCAAATATCACATAACACATCTCAATAATGCGACTCGGTATAAACTCAGAGGAGCGGGAACGACCTCAGATGGCATAAAGAAGTCCCAAGGAAAGGAGGAAATTTTCTGAGGAGTATTTTGTAAGGTAAGATTGAGACACACTAACCGATGATTGGATCGTAAGAACCAAGTCCTTCCTTCCTTCTAGATAAAAGTATATTGGAGAATAACGCTGGAATGGAGAACCGGAGAGAGAGAGAGAGAGAGGAAGATGGTCAAGCCACACCTTCAGCACATGGTTGATTTTCAGATAGAGAGGTCGTACTTTAGTTGAGTGTGAGGTAGAGAGGTCGTACTTTAGTTGAGTGTGAGGTAGAGGTCGTACTTTACTTGAGTGTGAGGTATAGAGGTCGTACTTAGTCGAGGTGTGAGGTATAGGGTCGTCCTTGAGGGTGGTACCTTAGCCTCAGTAAGTGTGAGCTTCGAA